AGGCGGCCGCTCTCCCCAGCCACGCTGGCGGTGGCGGGCGCGTGCATGGTGCTGGCGGCGTGCTCCGCCGTCGTGGGTTTGGTGATGGGGCTGAGGATTCTGTGCCACGAGGGTGACTCGCGGGGCCAGACTATGAGCGGCACCTTCTTCCTCTGCGGTGAGATGGTAGCGGGCCCCCAGGCATAGGGCGGGCTTGGGAGTTGCGGGGGGCAGGGACCCAGGGTCTTGCACTTGGAGGCGCTCTGAAGGGAATGAGGGGAGGGGCCGGAGACCCAGAGGAGGGCGTGGCTGGGAGGAGGGGGCGTGGCCTGGGCGACGGGCGCGGTCTAGGGGCGCCTCCGAGCTGCGCCCTGGCTACGCTCACCCCGGGCGCGGGGCCCAGGGCTGCTGCTGCTGATCGCCCTGACAGGCTACACCGTCAAGAACGCGTGGAAAAACGACGTCTTCTTCTCATGGTCCTATTTTTCGGGGTGGCTGGCTTTACCCTTCTCTATCCTCGCGGGTAACCTGGACAGCGGGAAGAGGGTGGAGGAGACTGCCCTGAGCACCCCCCTCCCCATAGACTCCCCGTCGCCCTCCCAGGGACTCCCCAGCACACTCCGCTCCCGACTCCCGTACACCCGGCAGGATCGCCCTTAGAGCTCCGGACCCCCGTCCCCGGGGCGCTCCCCGTCATCCGCCCCAGGACCCACCGTCCCCCACCCGCCCTCCGCTCCTCTCCCGCCAGGCTTCTGCTTTCTGCTGGCGGACATGATCGTGCAGAGCACGGACGCCATCAGCGGATTCCCCGTGTGCTTGTGACCGCAGCCTGCCTGGGGCAGAATAAAGGAACGGCTTTCACCGCCGCGGCTCGTGTGCCTTTCTGGGGGACACGAACGCACGTGGGAACATGGATATGAAGAGGACGGGGGACCGGGACACGGGGATCCCTGGGGGCTCAGGGAGGACATAAGCACATGAACCTACAGGGAACGTGGAACATGGGGACACGAGCTTGGGGTGGACAAGGACACGGACTGGGAGGGGGAACGGGAATCAGGGGTAGTGGGGTCAGGAGCGCACAAGGGCGTTTGGAGGGGATGTAGGGACTTGCAGGGAAAACGAGTATAGGGGAACATAAGGGGCATGATCATGGGACGAGGAACATGGCAAAAAGAAAATGGGGAGACACAAGAGGACGTAGGGGACACGAGCATGGCGACTTGTAGAGTTGAGGAAAAGGCGGGGGACTGGGGAAGGGGATAAATCGAGGACACTGGGAAAAGTTTAGAATTCGTGGGAGGAACCAAGCTCCACTCCGGGAGCATCTCCCTACGCTCACGGCCTTTCCCCTAGTTCCCGGCCACGCCCCCTCCTCTAGGTCAGTTTCCTTTCCCCTCGGGTCCCGCCTCTTTGTCCAAGATTCGTTCCCTATTGGCCCCGATCCTCTTGCCACACCTGCCTCCCTTCCGGGCCTCCGGTTGGTCCTCTGTTGGGGCGGAGGCGGGCACCATAGCGGTTGACTGGCTGGCTGCGTGGAGCGCAGGCGCAGAGAGGGGCGGGGTGCGGGGGCGGAACGAGAAGTC